CGCGCTAGCCCCCGGCGGCAAGTACACTTTGACGACATGACCTCTGGCCCGCGACTCTTCGTCGTTGTTGCTCAGTTCTCGCGCACAAGTCAAGCCAACGCCAACAAACACGAAAGAGTGACACGCGAAAGTCGCAAAAGACGCACAACTTTGAGGCATAAATGGACCGACGTTGGCGGTTTGGCCGAAAAGGCGGCAACGAAAAGTGATCGCGCAAACAAGGCCTCGGTACACCGACCTGCACCTCATTACACCCAACTGAGAAAGATGATGTTGTTTTTAGTCCATTTTTGATTTATAATGTCTCATAGTTACCACAATGCCTCTCTCAGGCCGATCTCAGCTGAGCTCTTGTTCGCATAATCGCTCGTCTCTTCCGGTGCACCCGATTCAAGGAGCCATTCAAACCGCTTTTTTAGACAAATTAATAGCCTCCAAACACTACTTATATCACAAATAAGTAACGTCGTGAGTGTAACGTCAAATTCAGGTTTGTCCACATCTGCTCGGTGAGCGGGCGAGTGCATTCAGCAACCTCGCCACCAACATCAACTCGCTGATGACCGGCTGGTGTTGGACAAACTTGTCGACAAAAGCACACAAACAACAACCACCAGACAGGACTGCAGCATTAAAATCGGTCGAGTCGTGCAATCGTTTAAATTGCCTTTTTCCGCACTCAAGAGGAGACAAACTACTTGAGCTATACTACTCAGTGAGTCGGAGAAAATGTCGGCCAAAATTGGACCATTTCTTGGTCAATTAATGCTGATTGATACGCTAATTAAAAAGGATATACGCCTTAGCCGGATCTACCGGAAATGTCCTCTAAATTAACATACTACTATTATGTTGTGAGTAGACGACAGTGTATTACAACACTTCATTCACAGCATGCAGATGGACAAAGTTGAATGGCTTCCGTGGACGGACTTGGCGTGGAGGCCAGACCGAAAGGTCGGCATGGGGACAATGGCTACAGCGAAACCTGTTGCCCAGCGACAGCTGTCGCGACACGAGTCTCTCTTTGGCTGGCGTACCAATGAAGAGGCGTTCAGAATGCGATCTGTGAGCCGGTGGCAGCATAAAGTCGAGAACTTGTCAGTACGTTCACCTTCTCCGTCTTAGGCACAATTACGACCCGAAATGGCACAATTAAATGACATGTTGCGATGGTACAGTTGCCGAGGGATCGACAGTGGAGTGATAATTAAGTTTGTTGGGATTACTTTCATTTCGAGTGGAAGTGTTGGGTGAAGAGATTGGAAGGTCGGTTTCACCAGAAGACGACGGCGAATTCCTCTTGACCAGCTGTCGTTTGGCTTTACTACAATATTCATGCTGACGCTGTTTCCGAGGCAATCTCCTTCGATTCCGGATCAGATGACGAACATCATCAGAGCGAGGTAACATCGTCACAACAAAATTGAAGCTAACGAGTCAAGAAAACTCAC